TATGAAAACACATCAAATAAGCTGGGAAAAATGTGTTGATGTGTGCAGTGATGGTGCCAAAGCAATGGTAGGAACAGTAGCTGGCGCTGTAACACGAATAAAAAATGTAGCACCAAACTGCACCAGCAGTCACTGCATTCTCCACAGACACGCTCTGGTAGTTAAGAATATTTCTCCCTGTCTTAAAAATGTGTTGGACGAAGCAGTACAGATTATTAATTATATAAAAACTCGACCATTACAATCAAGACTGTTCAAAATTATGTGTGAAGATATGGGTAGTCAGCACACAGCCCTGCTTCTACATACAGAAGTCAGGTGGCTATCACGAGGAAAAGTGCTGGTTAGATTATTTGAATTGCGTCATGAGCGCTCTGCAAATCTGATGGATCACAAATTCCAACTGTCTGATCGTTTAACAGACTTTTTGTGGTTATCTAGAGTTGCGTATCTTGCAGACATCTTTACAAAACTAAATGAAGTAAATCTGTCGCTGCAAGGAAAGAATGTAAATATTTTTAATGCGAAAGACAAAATTTTGTCATTGTCACGGAAGCTACAGTTTTGGATCTCATCTGTAGGACGAAATGATTTGGATTGTTTACCAACTCTGAATGATTTCCTTGAAGAAAATGGATACAAACTTGATGAAGATATTCGCAGCGACATTGCAGATCATCTCCGCGATTTATACACGAACATCATTAAGTATTTTCCAAACATCAATGACAACAATAACTGGATTCGAAATCCATTAAGTTTAACAGAAAAGCCAGTCAGTTTTTCTACACAAGATTATGAAAACCTAATTGAAATCGCTTCAGATGGCCAATTAATACAAAAATTTAAAGAAGTTTCTCTGATTACATTTTGGAGTGAAGTCAAGAATATTCATCTTTATCAAGACGTGCAATTCGTCAGCTGTTACCCTTTGCCAGTACATACTTGTGCGAAACTGGGTTCTTGAACTATGCAGTAATGAAAACGAAATACAGAAATCGACTGAATGCTGCGCCAGATATGCGAATCCAACTTTCTAGTATTAAACCAAATATAAAAAGAATTTGCCAAGAAAAGAAGAAAAACCACTCTTCGCATTGAAAACTATGAATATAATTAATATTATTTGATAGTTTTATTTTTTGTACATATTTAATATGATTTTTGTTGAATATAAATGAATGGTGTTATATTCAATATGTTGAATTTAAATGAATGGTGATCTCATGACCGTATTTAGCTTATTACTACGAATTGTGGTGTACTGGCAGTCTGTGTGTGTTTGGGTGTGGGTTTTTTTTTTTTTTTTCGACAAACTTAATCCCTGGCTAGGGGATTCCTTGAAATTTTTCTGAGTTTGAAAGGGTTCCGTGGTCAAAAAAAATTGGGAAACACTGGCCTACAGCAGAGCGACACAGATACTGAAAACAGCTAAGTTCTGGGAAGGCTCAAGCACAGGAACTTGACATAGCACTCAGGTGCACAGCCCCAAAGGGATCAAAAACCCCAGCTAAATCTGTCTTCCTCTGTATAAAAGTTTTACATAGAGCAAGCTCATAAAGTTTGCCCCCCTTTTCAATGAAGGAGAAAGCAGGAGCCCTGGGTTCAAGTCCCTTCTCTATATCACACAGAGAAGGGATTTGAACCTGGATCTTGTATATATCCTGTGTGGGTCCTCTAACAATTTAAATAGAAAGGTTGGTCCAGCTAACCCTTTTCTGGAGTTAGGAATGCAAATATCTCTAGCAAATCAGGCTCTGCCGCTGAAGTAAGCTAAATGCCACTAGGGCTTAAGCAGTTCAATGGCATCTGGACTTGAGTGGCTTTGCAGAAACTAAGGTAGAGTTTAAGGAAAATACAGGCTCCTCAGTTCTCCTTAAATCACTGGTGCTGTGCATGGAAATGAAATTCGTGCATTTCTATAAAAATTAATGGTCTTCAGAATTCAGTCATGACACACTTACTCTCTAATAATATTCTTCCTTTCTTTTAAAGCTCAGACGATGCTTTGAATTTTAATATTTCATGAGTTGTCTTCTATGCTACTTACAGCTCTCTAAGCATTGCAGTCCTTTGTTCCCCGCAACAAGCAGAATGTTTTTATAGGTTCATCAGTACAAAAAATAAATATTTTGGCTTGCCCTTGGAAATTTGATCTGTAATCAAATTGTTGTGATTCCAGATCCTTATTTGGGATTGCTAGTTTTACAAGTATTACACTGTGTACTACCTCCTGGAAATAATGGAAATAGTTTAGTTGGGTATTTTAAGTTTCTCATTTAATTTAGCTTTTATTTAAACAAATGTAAGAGTGGATATTGCAAAGATTATAATACCTACCTCTTCATAGAGGATTTTTCATCTTTAGAGCTCAACAAGTATTAAAAAAAACACATCTCTTGAAACCCAGTCCAGACCCTATTTACTGGACTATACTGCTTGAACTCTTAATAAATTAGTGTCTGTAAAATACTTTTAAATCCTCAGAGGAAATATAGAAATGCAAAATATTCCTACTAATCTCTTTAAAATATTTTTTCCAGGCACCGCCAGCAGTTGAATGTCATGTTTGTTGGAGGACCAAACCAAAGAAAGGATTATCATATTGAAGAAGGAGAAGAGGTAACGCAAAGGATATTTCTGTTTTACGATTTATTGATCTCCAGGGTTAACACATGTAACTATGGTATATGTGACACTTGCAAATTAATAAAATCCTACTTAATTCTATTAAATTGATTAGAGGTGGGCAGAGAAAATTGACAAAATCATATTCTGCAACACTTCCTAAAATTGGGTTAATTTCACTACCATTTTGTTTAGGATATAAGAACATAAAACAGTTCCAACGACGTCAAAATGTGCCCTTGCAATATTTTCAGAATGAAGCTTTTTGTTATTTCATATTTAAATGATCTTTTGTTTTGAATATTTATTGTGCATTATAGATTATAACAGGGGTGAGCAATAAGCAGCTCACAGGCTGGATGCAGTTTGCCAGAGTTAGCCTCTGGCAAGCGTTCAGAAGCTTTGTTTATCTGAGCGTCAACATGTACCCTTGCTTGCAGCTCCTGTTGTCTGCTGTTTGCCATTACCACTACAGACCAACTCAAAGCAACTCCAGACCCAGCCAGAACAACAGATGCAAAATATGCAGACATATTTGCACTGCTACAGTGATTAGCACCACACTCAGCACACCTTTCAAGATCCACGGATCCTATATTGCGTATCACAACATGTGGTGTACTTTTTCTGGTGCACTAAATGCCCCAATCACAGTTAAATGGCTAAAATCAGACAATCACTATGCTTGTGATTGAACTCACACATAGGAAAATGATAAAAGACAAGAACACTCTATTACCTTTCTGTGAACACTTTTTTTCAAAGTGATCCCTCTATGACTGACCTCCCCATCAATTCTCATTCTCAAAGAAACCAGCCCAACACTTTCAAAAGACAACCCTGGGAGATTAAATCCATAACTTTGCTAGACACTAAAAAATCATGAATAGAACAGAAGCACTAGATTTGTGGTTTATTACAGAAATCTGACCCACTAACAGCTCTTTGTCCTCTGTTGTCCGCTTGCATTTTCCCCTCTAATTGGAGGAGTATTAAGGTACCACTTTATCTTGAATAGCCCCTTGAAATATAAGTTAACTACTTTAAATATTTTGTTCCACTTTATATTTCACTATGACACTCTGAGCCCTGATCTACTCTACAACATTAGGTCAATGCAAGGCAACTTATGTCAACCTCACTCTTGAAGCATCTATATTAAAATGCCCTTGCTGCTGATATAACTTGCTTACTACACCAACTTAATAAATCCACCACCGAGAGAGGTGAAGCACTTAGGTCAATGTAGGTTGTTTAATGCAGTGTCAAGCCAGGTCTATACTAGACCTGGGAGGTCAGCTTAAGGTACACAACTCCAGCCAGCTATAATATGTAGCTGGAGTCGTCTTACCTTAAGCCAAGTTTGGCACCATCCCCACGGCGAGAGACCAATGGGAGCAAATGTTCCTGTCAGCTTCCTTTACTCCTCTCAATTGTGAAGAGTACAGAAGCCGGCCAGAGCTGCTCTCAGTGTTCATTTTATGGGTCTATACTAGACCTGCTAGGTCGAATGCCAGAATGTTGATCTTCAGCACAATAAGTGAAGATGTTTCCTGAGTGTAGACCAGGGGTGGGCAAAAGGGCCTCCAGGGGCCAGATTCGGCCCTGCAAGCGGGTGGATCCGGCCAGCAGAGGCCCTGCAGATCTTCCGCCCCCAGGCCCTAATTGGCCTGGGGGCACAGGAGCACGCAAAGCCTCCTCCCGCCCTGCCAGGAGCACATGGCACTTTTAAGTGCAGGGACAGAGTGGAGGAGGCTTCATGCACTCCCCCGCCCCCAGGTCCTAATTGACCTAGGGGCAGGGGAGTGCAGGAAGTCTCATCCCATGCCAGGGGCATGGGAACTTAGGGGGAACCTGAAGGAGGGGCAAAGGCACTCCCTCACCCACAGACCAATCATTGTCTGGGGATGAGGAATGCAGAAGTATCATGGTCCTGCCCCTTCCACTTGATGTCCCACCCCTTCCTGTGCAGCTCAGGGCCACTTAAAAATTTTCTGAAGTGGCCCCTGGCAAAAAATTATTGCCTACCCCATTTGTACACACTTCATTGCTTGCATCAACTGTCACTAGATATCTGATGCCACGCCACAAAGCTTTATACTGATAATTCAATCAGTGCAAGCCTTCCAAGTGAGACTGCACAGTGCCAACACAGGGTTCATTGCATATATAGGCAAAGTTATTTAACCAGAGGTGGCTGTATGTCATATAACTCATAGGTTGACATAATTTTGTAGTGTAGACTTACCCTAAGTGAGTTTCTCAGACCTGAAGAAGATCTCTGTGTAGGCTTGAAATTTTTTCTCTCACATCAAGAAAAGATGGTCCAATAAAAGATACTACCTCATCCACCCTATCTCGCTTTCTTTTATTTTTCCCCTTAAGCAGCAAAGAAAGGATCAAAACTGAACACTAGTTGAATAGTAATAGAGATGTAGCCGTGTTAGTTTAGTCTAGCTGAAACAAAAAACAGGACTATGTAGCACTTTAAAGACTAACAAGATGGTTTATTAGGTGATGAGCTTTCGTGGGCCAGACCCACTTCCTCAGATCAAATAGTGGAAGAAAATTGGCACAACCGTATATACCAAAGGGATACAATCAAAAAAATGAACACATGAAATTTGATTTGTCCTTTTCATATGTGTTCATTTTTTTGATAATTGGGGAAGCTATCTTTGTAATGGGTAAGGTAATTAGCGTCTTTGTTAAGACCCCGGCGTAAAGTGTCAAATTTAAGCATGAATGACAGTTCAGAGGTTTCTCTTTCAAGTCTGGTGTTAAAAGGTCTTTGAAGCAGGATGCAGGTAATCAAGTCGTTGAGACAATGCCCTTTCTGGTTGAAATAGCAAGAAACTGTTTTTTCTTTGTGATACTGTCTGATATCCATTTTGTGTGCATTGATTCTTTGGCGAAGCGTCTGAGACATTTGTCCAATGTACATAGCAGATGGACACTGTCGGCACATGATGACATAAATTATATTTCTGGATGAGCAGGAATATGTGTTCTTGATCTTATAACTGAATTGATTAGTTCCAATAATGGTGTCAGTAGAGTAAATACGTGGACAAAGCTGGCAACGGGGTTTGTTGCAAGGAAAAGTTCCAGGGTTGGTATTAGTGTGGTATGTCCTGTGGTTGTTGGTAAGAATCATCCTGAGGTTAGGTGGTTGTCTGTAGGAGACTATGGGTCTGTCTCCCAGAGCCTCTTGGAGTGTAGTATCCTGTTCTAGTATGGGCTGTAGTTTATTGATAATGTGTTGGACGGGCTTAAGTTGGGGGATATAGGTGATGACAAGTGGTGTTCTATTGTTGGTTTTCTTGGGTCTGTCTTGAAGTAGATGGTTTCTGGGTATTCGTCTGGCTCTTTCAATTTGTTTTTTTATTTCTCCAGGTGGGTAATTGAGGTTTATAAATGCTTGGTAGAGATCCTGAAGTTTCTGGTCTCTGTCAGTGGGATTAGAGCAGATGCGGTTGTACTGAAGGACTTGGCTATAGACGAACACTAGTTGTCACTGTAAGCCCATCTTTGCCTTCTTCGTATCTATCTGTCAAGATGCATATGATGGACTTGGCTTTTACAAATTTCTGAGAAAAAAATTAGACGACTGCATTTTCTGGCTGAAATTAATTAAAGAGGACAACAAATAAGACTGAGAAAAGCAGGAAGTTTAGCTTTTTCGTGCATGAACTGTTTTCTGTCTCAAATCTTTTCAGTCTTAATGCTGAATCCCATCTTTTTGCACTGAATGCACTTTTCAAGTTTAGTGACTGGTTACCTGGAAAGAGTCAAATGATAATTAACTTGAAGTTCCTTGAGAAATAGAAAATATTTTTTTGTTCCCTAGGAGACTTTACTTCTGATGTCAGTGAGGGTGCAGCTAGAGCTAGGCAAATTGCATTGCTTATTTCGAGGTAATGTCAAAGTAGCTTATGTCTACACAGCACCAAATTTCAAAATAAACTGCTCTTCCAAAATGTCCCTTAATCTTTGTGGAACGAGGTTTATAGGAACATCGGAATAGCGTGCCCATTATTTTGAAAGACATTTCAAAATAATGGGTTCGCTGTCAAGATGCAGAATAACTATTTCAGGATACCGGAAGTATCCCAAAATAGCGCTGCAATATAGATGTACCCTAAATCTACACATATTATGACAACGGACAAAAACAATCAAATCTCTTGTATAACAGCTGGCTATTAAGTATTGTTTTTGAGACTACATTTACACGTGAACTGAGAATCATCCCCAGGAGTAGTTACACTTGCACTAGCTGTCATTGAGATAGCCAATGAAAATTAGCAATGTAGGCACAGTAGTATGGGCCGTAGCAAGTGGTGACATAGGGTAGCCACCATGGCTGTGTCTAGACTGGCCAGTTTTTCCGGAAAATCAGCCGCTTTTCCAGAAAAACTTGCCAGCTGTCTACACTGGCCGCTTGAATTTCCG